GGAGTATTTATGGAGTATTTATGTATTTATGGAGTATTTATGGAGTACTTATGTATTTACGGAGGGGACTGACATGTTGGATAAAGTCTGAACAACTTTTTCCAAGTTTTTCAGAAAACATGAAGTGTTGCAACCACAAAGTTCAACAATTATTCTTATAAATTAATTTAATATGACAAGAACAGCCTAGAATTTTTTTTTTTACCCAACTAAATTAACTGCTGCTTTATTTTTTTTTTATTCAGACGGTTTACTCTGATTTAAATGTATAAAAAGTCTTCATAAATTTGTGTGAAACACATTTTACCTGTTTGTTTTTTTTTCCAGGTGTTTTGTTTTATCCCTCTTTAAGGGAAATTTAAACTCCAAATTCTAGTTAAATTAATTTTATATATCTCTACAGAGTGAAATACGTAGAGGCAAAACAGCAAAAAATCATTTAGGTGTTTCAACTTGCTGTCGAGCTGCTGTGTTTTAATATTAACGAGCTTAAAAAAAGTCACTTTCACGGTATGACAGCAGCAGAGGACAAAAAATATCTGTGGCATCTTTAAGCAAACTACACTTATAATGCTCGGAAAAAATAACAAATATAGATCTATATAGATATTTATACATTGGTTGTGAAAAATAAAAAATAAAAATGGGCCAAACAGTGAGCCTTGGGGTGCTCCACGGTTAATTTACACAGAGTGGATGGTGTAACATTCGTTGTTGTTTTTTCTTCCACACTGTTGGTTTTAATGTGAGCAGAACTGGTTATATAAAGTAAGAAGTACCTTCTAGTTCCATGCTCCTTTTCTTTTTGCTCCGAACACAGCAAACAACGACGACCACCATCAGCACCAGAACAACACCTGATGAACACGACAACACACGTTACATCACAGACGTCCATAAGTCTGGGATTTATTTACATTAAATTCACTTCAGCACCACTCAGCACCCCCACGTCATTTAATTCATTAAGAACAAACGTACCTCCTCCAGTGCCTACAAAGATCCAGATACTAACCCCGAGCAATTTATCCTCAATACTCGGGAAAACTGTAACAAAGAAATACAAAAACATAAAGTTTAAACATTTGGTGATTAGTTCCGTTTAAGAAAGTTTGTAGAAATCTGCTCACACCCCGACCTGCCAGGGATTCATCAGCTAAAACTGAAAATTGTAATAAAAGTGAATGAACGTGACCAAACTCCAGCCAGCAACAGAAACACATTGAATCTTTTTCGATGCGCTACGTTTGTCACTAAACCTGTTAAATAGAACCCATTTACATAAAAGTGTAATTTTACGGCAGATGTCTGTTAGTGTGGCAAATAAAAAGATCTATTTTATGTTTTGTGCTGCAAAGGACGACCTGCTGTAAGTTGAAATAAATCTCCAGTTTGAATATAAAGTTACATAAAGATTAAATCCACCTTTCACTGCAAACCTTTAGGGTTTTTACACCTGTAGTCACAATTTAACCCGTGAACATCTGTGTTATTTGTTACGGGTTCTTCAGTCTCTAAACAAGCGGAGTGAGGGTTTGGTTCTCATCGCTGGTAGGAAGTCAGACTCTTCAGGGCGGGGGTTGTCACAGAATTTCTCGGTGCAGCCAGGGTGTGGAGGGAGTCCAGGTCATGGCCTCAGGATTCATCTCTGCTCTTTGCAGATGATGTGGTCCTGGTGGCGTCATCGTGCCGTGATCTTCAGCTCTCGCTGGAGCGGTTCACAGCCGAGTGTGAAGCAGCTGAGATGAGAACCAGCACCTCCACATCTGAGGCCGTGGTCCTCAGTCAGAAAAGGGTGGATTGTTCTCTTCAGGTCGAGGGAGAGGTTCTGCCTCAAGTGGAGGAGTTTGAGTATCTCGGGGTTTTGTTCACGAGTGAGAGAAGAATGGAGCGTGAGATTGACAGATGGATGGTGAATCGTCTGCAGTATTGTGGACTCTGTGCCGGTCCGTTGTGGTGAAGAGGGAGCTGAGCTGTAAGACATACTGGTCGGACTACGTTCAAGATGCTGCCCCTGAGACCTGAGTCCAGAACAAGAGGAAGATGATGGATGATGGATGGATGTTTGAATGGATGGATGATGGATGATGAGGATGGATGGATGGATGTTTGAATGGATGGATGATGGATGATGATGATGATGGATGGATGTTTGGATGGATGGATGTTTAAATGGATAGATGATGGATGGATGGATGGATGGATGGATGGATGATGGATGGATGGATGGATGGATGGA